ACAAGGGGGAATGGCTTCAAACTGAAAGAAAGTAGGTTTGGATTGGATGTTAGGAAGAAATTTTTGCCTGTGAGGGTGGTGAAGCCCTGGCACAGGGTGCCCAGAGAAGCTGTGGCTGCCCCTGGATCTCCGGAAGTCTCCAAGGTTGGACAGAGCTTGGATCAACATGGGATAGTGGAAGGTGTCCCTGCAAATGGCAGGGGGTGGCACTGGATGAGCTTTACGGTCCTTTCCAAACCCAGGCTGTTTGGGATTCTGAGATCCAGTGCTTTGTGACAGAGGATGTGATGACAAATTTGGTCATCAGTGGTCAGGCAGAGGTTTAAAGCAAACAACAGGAAATAAACTTTCACAATCTGCAAAGAATTAGGAAAATCATCAAACACATCTTTTACTGCTGAAAGTACAGGTTGGCTGACAAACTTGTAGTGCTGAGATTCCCAGTGCTGACTTTGGCACTGAGATGATCCTGGAGGTCTTTTCCAACCTTAATGATTCTGTGATTCCTTGTTCCTGTTCCAGTGTCCCCTCTGCAGCTGGGTGAGATTTGAGATCTGGTTTGGTTTGGCCCTTCCCTGGTGGAATCTGACAGGATTTTTGGGCTGTTAAAGGGTCTCTTGTGATGTTGCAGTGACTTGGCAGTGCTGGGTTAACAATTGGAGTCATGATCTTTCAGGGCTTTGATCTCTCCTATGACAAAAGCCAGAGAAAGCCTCTGAAGGAATAAGTTCTCTCTGAATTGGAGTGGAATATTGGAGGGGAAAATGATCCAATGATTCCTTAAAAATTCCCTGGCCTGAGTTAAAAATCCCAAGGGTTAATTGCAGTACAGTAATGAGAGGTCTTATTGGATGGCTCAGGAATTTTGAGACAGAGAGGACTAAAAATTCTTCTAGAACAGGATTACCATCAAATTATATCAGCCTCAGTGGCAGGAAATCAATCCAGAGTGGGCAGATTTACACTTGCTACAGCCAGCACATCCTGAACTTCCCCATCTCTCCCAGTTATGTTTTTCTCTTCACGTCAACACTGTCAGTGCGAAGAAAATAATTTTCCCTTTAAAATCCAAACATCCAAGGTGGGATTTGGCAGAGTGTCAGGGCCAGGGGTTCCCACTGACAACAGCACCGAAATGCAATATAAGGACTCATCTTGGTTTCTGCTTTATTCAGGTTTTAATGGGCTGGGAAGGGATAAATGATGTTTATGCCCTCTTGTGGTGCCACATCGAACAGAATGGCGTCCCTAACTGACAAAATGAAGCCAATGATGGAAAAGTCCCAGGTTAAAAATCTGTAACAAACTCTGTGGAAAACACAGTGGAAAAATCTCTCCCCCTCCGACAGCATCCTCATGACTCAGGGAAGGAGGAGAGACCAATTTTGACTGCATTTGCAGCAGCAGGTAAATGAGTAATGGCCATGATGGCAGAGTTTGTGCCATCTTTCAGCAGTGAAGATCATTCCAAAGTGTTTTCTCTGTGCTGGGAATGTTGGGAAGTGGAACAGTGCTTTGTAAAAGGAGCTGTGTTGACACCTCTTTGAGTTTGGTGCTGTTGATGTGTTGTAGTGCAAACCTTCACATGTTTTATCTTTGCTCACATGTCTGACAGGTGAATAAACTGATTCCCTTGGGACAAAGCCTGTCCCAAAGATGGAAAAAAGCTGGTTGGTGATTTTACATGGGGAAATAAGGCTAGGTTCCTGTGAAATGGAGCTTGTGATCCCAATTCCTTGTGTGGGAACACAAGGGAATTAATGAGTCAACACCTTCCTAAGCTGTGCTGATAAATCTGCTGCAGGGCTGGGAACTCAGGGCTCTCCAGACTGGTCAGTCATGGATTTTGTATCCATCTTATCACTTCATTCCTGACTGAAGACTGAACACAGCAGAATGTGTCCTTTAGACAGTGAAATTGTGGGAATAAATCAGAGTAGTGCTCTCCAAAGCCCAGCAGCTGCTATCAGGGTCAGGCTGTGGGCAGGGCTCGGCTGTGCTGAGGCAGGATCTGGGAAACCCTGGTGGGGGAAATTTGGAAACTTTTTGTCCCAAATAATCACCTGTTGTTTAAGTGCAGTATTTCCTTTGCATGTCATCCTTGCCTCTCCCCAGCCATGTAGCAGATGAAAGGGGAAGGGAATGATTTCCTTTCCACTTCCAGGATGAGTAAACTCGCAATACTGGGTTTAAATGAAAGTACTGGGTTTAACTGGGCTAGGCTTAAGAGGGACTCTCTAACAGAATGGAAAATATTGGAATGAGGCTCTCCATCCCCAAAGATCTTCCATAACCAATGTTTTTGGGATCAAGGCTGCTACTATTCATTCTATCATGATGAAAGAGGATGGACTTGATGACTGATGGCAGATTCACAATTTTGTGATTCCATGTGATGATTTCCCTTTATTTATAGTTTATATATTTAATAGTATGATGAAGTAACAAATATTTTTCTGGGAATCCTAAATGTTGACCTTTCAATCAATTCCAGTCTACATCCAGTATTTATAACTACACTTTGCAACAGGACTCTGAGATTAATTAAAGTGCTTATTAGGTTTTAGCATGGACTTTAGAGCACAAGTTATGTCCACACTGAGAAGAGAATTGGCTCCAAAATGTTGATGTTTACCAGTTTCCTTAGGAAAAGACAATGTAATGGGGAAAATGTCACAGCAATTAATCTTACAAAGAAATTCCCTCTGTCAGAAACCTCTCAGGAGTTTCAAATTCAGCTAGGGGATATCAGAAAGCAATTAAAGTCTAATTTAAAATCCCCACCCACATTCTGTCTTCTCTTCCTGCCAAGTGGTTATTGCTCCTGGTACATGTATTGGCAAATCTTTCCGAAATGAACCATAATTTGCCTTAAAAGTTAAAACTTTCTGGTCAAGATGGAACTTTTCTCTTTGAAGAATGAGTCTGCAGTGACTCTGCGGAAAAAAAAAAAAAAAAAAAACAAACCAAAAACCCAAATTCTCTGATTTCCCAAGGACATCCTTGAGGTTGAAATTTCACCCAGAAATTCTTCTTGGACAAGGACATTGGTGGTGGATTTTGAAGCCGAGGCACTTTCCAGGGGAGGTTCCTGGATGCTGCAGCTTCCCGGGATGGATCCCAGTGTGTTTTCCCTTTGTTTTCCACTTTCACTGATGGCTCCACATCACTGCCTGGGTTAATAAAGAGAATAAAAGTGTGGCAGTGGCAGATTAAACAAATGAGCCATTAAAAGGGGACGGCTCCCTCCCTCTCTGTGCCCACAATGCCTCCGAGCAAAACACCACGAGAGCAGGGATGAAAAGCTTTCAGGGGTGAGCTGGGAATGTGAGACGCCTGTGGCTCCTTCGGGGAGGAATCCTAACATCATTCGCAGCAAACCACTAACGGCTTTCCATGGTCTTTCCTGACAGGTGTTGACGGAGGAAGGCTTTGGCCCCATCACCACGGAGATCCGGGAGGCTCCTGAGTTTTATTACGCCGAGGAATATCACCAGCAGTACCTCAGCAAGAACCCCGGCGGGTACTGCGGCCTGGGAGGGACGGGGGTTTCCTGCCCCATGGGCCTCAGGAAATAGCCTGTGCCTGCTCCACCACCTCCTCTTCATTGTAGGCAGCTTGGGAATAAAAAAGACCAGGAACCTCGGTGGATGTTCCCGCAGCATCCGTGGATAAAGATTTGGGAATCTGCTGGGGAGGCTTTCTGTAATCATAAGTTACATCAAAATCCAAAGTAGAGGCAGGAATTGCTCCCATCACAGCTTCTTGCTCTGTGCAGTTTCCTTGTCATCTGGAGAGGTGGAAAGAGATCCAAACTTCTGAAGTTTGGCTTGAAATGCTATTAAAAGGGTGAATTAGGAGGTGGTTGCACCTGTAGCTGCTTTGCATTTCCAATGCCTTTGGGCTTTTTGATTTTCTTGTGTTAATTAATTTTCTGGTGGTCCCAGAGCTTTGACTTCTGGAGATGTGATTGTGTTCCTTACCTGTCACAGCCCTGGAATTTGATGTCTTTGGGAATGATGAATTGACCAGATCCATGATTCTCCTACCACAACTCCACTTTCACAGCATTTAGTACCACCTGTAGTGCCTATTTTCTGAAATGCTTTAGCCAGAAAAAGGTCAAAATTGCAATGTGATGCTTCTTTTTGACAGTTCCAAGAAGTGAATAAACACAAAAAGAAATCAGTTTTGTTTCCTGCTCTGCAATAAATGACAGAACAAGAAAAGAACAATGTTCTCTGTGATGTGTTCCAAGTGGATATCTGGGTCGATCTAAAAAAAAAAAAAATCAAATATTATAAAATGCTGCAGTTTTCTATTTAAACACCAGGTTTAAATCTGTATCATCAGGCATGACAGCACAGAGGAGTGGATTATCAAATCTTATAAAATGCTTCAGTTTTCTAATTAAACACCAGGGCGTTTAAATCTGTATCATCAGGCATGACAGCACAGAGGACTGGAATTATCCCTCTGATTAATTATTTGTACTTTAATAACTTGGGGAGCCCCCACCAAGAGCAGACTCCTGGCAAATGTAACTTGGGGCAGTCTTCAGTGAGTGTGCAGTCAAAACAGCAAGCCAGCCAGAAAGGGGAAAAAAATCAATTTTGGGTTTATTCACGGGGTTCTCAGAGCGCAGACTCAAAGCTGCAGACAAAGGATGCAGGGATGCACAGTTTATCCCATATGGAAAGGGGATCCTATGGGTCCAGAGCTCAAGGAGTGAGCCAGTTTTGGGGGACAGATGGTGGGACTCAGAGACACAATTCCACAGCATCTCCTTCTCCGTGGCACTGCTCTCCATAGCTTGGTTTGATGTTTCCTGCTCACCAGCTCAGCTTTAAAGCTCAAAAAGGCCCAAACCAGCTCCCTGAACTTCTTCTGTACCTGCACAGCAGAGCAGATCATGCATGGAGAGACTGGAAATGTTCCCCACAAAGTCAGTGTTTGGGGTTGTAAATCCAGTGCTGCAGCCCTGCCCACTGTTTCCAAACATGGGGAGTAAGTATGTGCCAGAAAAATCATCTCCCCATCTTCCCTCGTGCTCCTCAGCTGATGCTGAGCTCATCCCAGTCTCAAAATCCAGGGGAAATCTGTCCTCTTGGCAGACTGGACCTGAGTCAGGCTTACAGGAGCTGCCTCAGGCAGGATTGCCCCATTGGGCTCTTTCTGGAGGTGCCCCAAAATGTGCCCACAGCGCACTCAGAATTTTTGTTTCTGTGGTAACTGATCCTATCCCTAACCTGTCCTGCCATGGAGTTTTTTTCAGTGCTAACAGACAAGTAAACCAGCACTTGTGTCTCATTTCCTTGCCATGAAGTGACAGGGAAGCAAAAAAGAGAGGGAAATAAAGTCTTACCCTCATCTTATGCCTTGTCAGCCTCTGTGAAATCCAGACTCCAGTGGGATAATTCCTGATGTGCTCCAAGGCAAAGCATTTCAGGAGTTGAATCATCTGGGGACTCATAAAATGTCTCCTGGTTCCCTTCCTTTCCTTTCCCTCCCCTCCCACTCTGTGCTGTAGTTACTGTTTTGAAACAAACTGGAAAGTTTTTGGGAAAAACTCTTACTATAGATATCCTCAAGTCTGAGCCTGGCTGAGGATTTTTTAAAGTCCTGTCCTGATGGAAATGATGTTGGTCTAAAAATCAGCATAATGGCTCCATTGATACTACAATTGACCCACACCAAAATATTTTGGTACCACAGGATTATTTACTGACATCTTTGATTTGATTTTGATTTGAGAGTTTTGATTGGGCACTCTGGAAATTGTCCTTTGACAGAGCTCCCGCTTTTTCCTACAAACACAGAATCCCAGAGTTGTTTGGAGTGGAAGGGACCTTAAAGATTATCCAGTCCCACACCCTGCCCTGCTCTGGAGTCAGACTGGGGGTGTTCACCTGGAGAAGGATCCAGGGAGAGCTCAGAGCCCCTTCCAGAGCCTAAAGGGGCTCCAGGAGAGCTGGAGAGGGTTTTAGGACAAGGGATGGAAGTACAGGACACAGGGAATGGCTTCCCACTGCCAGAGGGCAGGGATGGATGATATTGGGAAGGAATTGCTGGCTGTGAGGGTGGGGAGGCCCTGGCACAGGTTGCCCAGAGAAGCTGTGCCTGCCTCTGGATCCCTGCAATTGTCCAAGGCCAGGTTGGACAGGGCTTGGAGCAACCTGGGATAGTGGAAGTTGAAGCTGGAATGGAGTTGGAAAAAAGATTTTTAAATCCCTTCCAACCCCAACCATTCTGTGATTCCCTGTTTCTCTGATTCCATGGATATTTCTGTTTCAGTGCTCAGGGATGTCCTGCCCCTGTCCAGCACAGGCTGTGACACTGCTGAATGTGTCCAAAATGTCCCTTTTTGTACCCAGGCTGTGGCCTCCGACCATCCTACGAGTCCTTCCAGAAGACTGGCAAGAGGATTGGCACAGGGACAGACGTCAAGCCTGGGGAATTCCCGTGGCTCGTGAGCATCCAGAGCCATGGGAAGCACATCTGTGGAGGCACCATCATCAGTGCACTGTGGATTTTAACTGCAGCCCACTGCTTTGCAGATGAGCTGTGAGTGCTCCAGGGTTGGAGGGCAGCCCAGGCACAGGGGAGGGCGGGGGTGACATTCCTCCTGGTGGGTGCAGGATGTGGACTCCTCCTCTGCCACCATTTGTGTGACCGAGCCCTAAAAACAGGGGTTGTCTCCTCTAGGGGAGACAGGCCCATTTTTGAACACAGAAACGTGCAGAAATCTGAATAACCATTTCCAATGCCTTTGGACTTTTTGATTTTCTAGGCTTAATTAATTTCCTGGTGTTCCCAGAGCTTTGACTTCTGGGGATGTGGTTGGGTTCAAGCAGAAGGGGAATACTTTGAGGAATGTGGTTGGGTTCATCCCTCAATACTTTGAGGGATGGCCTGAGCAGCCTTGGATAAAAGCCCCTAATTCTATTCTGATGGCCCCAAGCATTTCTTGTGCACCTTTTTCAGTACCTTGTAAAAGGTGATGCATTCCATTCTAGCTCATTATAGCCCCCAAATTACCTTTGCTTTCACACACCAAACACCTTTACCTCATGGAGACTCTGAATTTAAAACATCCAGTTCTGGATAAATCAACTCCATGCAGTGTCCAGGGGCAGAGTCCAGCCCTCTGTGAGTCCCCTCCAAAATGTGGCAGCCGAGACTGCTTGGTGACAAATGACTTGTGGCAGCACAGCCTGGAGCAGCTGGGTCTGAGCAGCCAGCCCAGGGCACAGAGATCCAAAAGATCCAGACCATTCCATCTGCTTGGTCGTGACTGGGTTATTTATAGCCTGCATTCATGTTCTACCTCTTCACCTCTCTGCCCTGGAAATCATCCTTTCCTAGGAGTGAGGGTAAATTCCTTGGGTATTTATAGCTGAACTGCCTAAGCCACCATCATGCCCTGCTCTGGGGAGGAGGCACCAACCTCCATAACCCAAATCCTTCACGTTCACCTTGTCCTGCTTTGTTTTTAAGGCCACCAGATCTGAGGGTGGCAGTGGGGGGAGTTGACCTCAGCTTCCCGCTGGAGGAGCACAACCCGGACAGCCTGATCCTGCACGAGGAGTTCAACAGGACCAGCCTGCAAAACGACATTGCCCTGATCCTGCTCAGCAGTCCCATCAAGTTCAGCATGCAGAAAAGTCCCATCTGCCTGCCCTTCGTGTGTGACATGGACACGTGGCAGCACTGCTGGGCTGCTGGCTGGCAGGGCACAAGTGCAGGTGAGGTGCTGGGGGAGATGCATTTGCTGATGGAAAATGGGATTTATCTATTTAAAGTGGCTGTCCTCTCCCATGAGGGGTTTCCCAGGCAAAGTTTCAATCTCCACCTTCCTGGTTTATACATCCAGACCACGCCCAGCCTCTGCACATCCACCAGTTCCCTGTTCAGGGCAAGAACCAGTCACCAACAGACCCCCAGAGCAAAATATGGGACTTATTTTGGCACCACATCCAAACTTTGGATCTCATTTTGGCAGCCAGATTGAGGCAAGCTCCACCCTGACTGGTAAATAAGAACAGAATCATGGAATTATTAGGGCTGGAAGGGACCTTAAAGCTCATCTTATTCCAAACCCCTGCCCACTTCCACCATCCCAGGTTGCTCAGAGCCCCATCCAGCCAGGTCTTGAACACTTGTCACCTTGTAGGACCCTTGTGGGTAACTTCAGCTTGGGATATTCTATGAATCACCCAGTTAGGCTGGGTCTAAAATGGTCTGGACTAAAGGAAATGAAGGTCTGGGGCTGTCTTTGGCTTAATGCCTCTATGAGCTGGATTGAATTATTGGTTCTGGCCACTCCTTCCTTCACTCATTTAGGACTGCAGATTGCTGTTGCTAATTGATCTCATTTAAGCCCTAATGAAAGCAGTTCCAGCACTGATTGTGACCCAAAATGTCTGTCCTGAACAAATGTCACTAATTAGCCAATGAGCTGTTTCATTATTGGAAAGAATTAATCAGGACTGGGAGGGCAGGGGGTGCCTCGGAGCTTGAGTGGTCCTTCCCAGGAAGCAGTAAGTGAATATCCCATTGAATCCTTGCTATTCTGCTCCAATTGCTGTTTTTCTTTTTTTTTTTTTTTTTTTTTTTTGTTTGTTTGTTTGTTTGTTTGTTTTTTCCCCATGAAACTCTGCATTTGCCTTCTTAGGCTTCATTTTCCTCCCTCAACAGTAACACACAACACTCTCACAGTTGTGAGGCTCTCCCACTTCACCAAGGTAACATGTTCCCAGAGCAGAGGGGCTGCTGCAGAGTCCCTCTGCAGGATTTCTCTTGAGCTCCTCTGTGCAAAATCCGTGGAGCAGCTCTGGGGATCAGCCTCGTGCTGCTGTATGGGCTCAGCTGACAGAGATTCTACTTCCAAAATTTGGTGTCAATGTGCTCAGCCCTGGCATCCCCCCACCCTCTGTCTGGTAGAGGCTTCAGAAGAAATCCAGCAGCAGCTGAGCGTGGTGAGAGGGGGTGAGAGGGTGTGATTTGGGAAAAGCCAGAAGGTACAGGATCAGGGAATGGTTTGGGTTGGAAGGACCTTAAAACTCATCCCATCCCACCCCCTGCCATGGCCAGGGACATCTTCCTCTATCCCAGGCTGCTCCATGCCCTGTCCAGCCTGGCCTGGGACACTCCCAGGGATCCAGGGGCAGCCACAGCTTCTCTGGGCACCCTGTGCCAGGGCCTCCCCACCCTCACAGAGAACAATTCCTTCCCAATATCTCATCCATCCCTGCCCTCTGGCAATGGGAACAAATTCCCTGTGTCCTGTCCCTCCATCCTATGTCCCAAAACCCTTTCCAGCTATCCTGGACCTCCTTTAGGCTCTGGAAGGGGCTCTAAAGTCTTCCCAGAGCTTTCTCTTCTCCAGGTGAACAGCTCCAGCTTCTCTTCATAACAGGAGGGGTTCACCTTCCTGGAGATTCCTTCACCAAAGCATTTTCATCTTTGGGCACTTCCATCTTAGCTGGAAAAGGGTCGTGACAGCTTTCCAGCTTTTAGGTCTTGTCATTGACTCTCAGTTTCCTGAAGGTTCTGGGATGATTTAGCCTGGTGAAATATGAAACAAGGAGTGAGTTTCAAATGATCTGAAGACCTCAGTTTTATCCTTTAGACTCAGGTTCACTTTAGAGGGAAACATGGGTGAAATAATTGGGGTTTCCAAATAGCCCAGAACATTTTTCAGTCTTTTTGTCACTTGCAGGTGGCAGCTGTGATTTCTGTGTTCCCAACCCAAGGGAAGAATAAAGCAGATATTTCCTTTGTGTCACTTTGTGAAGATACAGCTGGTCCCCTGAGTGAGGCATGGCCTTGCAGCCCTCCCTGGGTAGAACAATGTTTAGATTGGATATTAGGAAAAAAGTTATTTCCTGGGAGAGTTGTTGGGCATTGGAACAGCTGCCCAGGGCAGTGGAGGAGTCCCCACCTCTGGGTGGAATTTAAAAGCCCTGTGGATGTGTATTGTATTTGAAGGGTGCCCCAATGAAGGAAGGAATGATGGATCTGACTCCAGGTTCTCAGAAGAATAATTTATTATTTTATGATACTATATCATATTAAAGAATACTATGCTATACTATACTAAAGAATACAGAAAGGATACTTACAGAAGGCTAAAAAGATAATAGTGGAACTCATGACTCCCTCCAGAGTCCCAACACAGCTTGGCCAAAGAGTCAAAACAACTCACAGCAGATTCCAATGAAAAAATCACCTGTTGGTAAAAAATGTCCAACCACATTCCAAAGGAGCAAAGCACAGGAGAAGCAAATGAGATAATATTGTTTTCCTTTTTCTCTGAGGCTTCTCAGCTTCCCAGGAGAAAAATCTTGGGCGAAGGTATTTTTCCAGAGAATGTGAATGTGACAGATGAGGCACTTGGGAACATGGATCAGAGGTGGCCTTGGCAGTGCTGGGGGAACAGTTGGATTGGATGATCTCAAAGCTTGTTTCCAAAGTAAATTATTCTATGATTCTATAGTTCTAAGATTAGAATTCTGGGGAAAGCTCAGTGGACTTTGATCTGCAGGGGCTTGCACAGGATCCTATGAAAAGCCACTCAGACTGAATTCCCAAAAAACCACGAGTGAGAAACCCCAGGTGTGCAGGGCAGCTCATCTCATCTCATCTCATCTCATCTCATCTCATCTCATCTCATCTCATCTCAGGTGATCACTGAGACCACCAGCAGGAAAATCCATCCCTTTGGGGGTTTCCCAATAGTCTGGCATCCCTGGCAGTGTCCAAAGCCAGGCTGGATGGGGCTTGGAGCAGCCTGGGATAGTGAAAAGTGTCCCTGCCCATGGCAGGGGGTGGCACTGCATGATCTTTAAGGTCCCTTTCCACCCAAACATTCTGGGATTCTGTGATAAACTCAGGAGCACAAACTCATCACTGCCAAAACCTGGGGATCCCCTGTGGCCCCAAAACCCCACGGTTCTGCCCAGAGACCCCATTGCCCTGTAATGCTTTAGAAATCCAGCTGAGATTCTTCCCAAGGGAAGCCTCCAGCTCCTCTGCAGCTTTGTTGATCCTTCTCTTTTCATTTGCTGCAGCATCCCATGTGCTGCAGAAAACAAGGACGAAGCTGATCAGCAGAGAGAAATGCCTGAAGCACATCCCACACCTCATGGGGGGAATGATGTGTGCTGAGACAGAGCAAGGAGAAGGAGGAGGAGGAGGAGGAGGCTGCCAGGTAAAGGGACCATCCTGGTCTGCTTCACAGCCAGGTTACACCCCAAAAGGAGACAGGAATGGTTGTCCAGGAGCTTCAAGGCAAAAAAAAATGGGAGGGAAGTTTAATCTGGAGGTGTTTAATTTAGATAAGAAACATTTCTCAGGTGAGGTCTTGGCTCTGACCCAAATGTGCTTGTTTGGTCTGTGGGTGCCAGAATGAGTCACGTCTTTTGTCAGTGTGTTGGTGACAGAGAATGAGGGACTTTTCAAGCTAAATTACAGTCTGAGCAATGTTTGATATCAGGGAGCTGACACAAACACCCAAATGAGGTAAAACTCACTCACAACTTGTGCCCTCACAACACATTCCACCCCCAGGATCGCAGTCCTGGTGTCAGATGAAGTCTGGAAGCCAAAAATTCACCTTGTCTTTCATAGCATCCAAATTCCAACCTCTCTCCTGAGAGACAGACAAGGACTGGGCTCTCCTGCAGCCTCTGGTTCCAGACTGAGATTTCCCTCCTCCACTGGGAAATGGTTTTTCTAGGAATCACAGAGGGGTTTGGGTTGGACAGGGCTTTAAATCTCACCCAGTTTGGACCCCCTGCCATGGGCAGGGACATCTTCCACTATCCCAGGCTGCTCCAAGACCCATCCAGGTGTATGTTTTATACATGTCCATGGGTTTGGAGGGGTCTGGATGGGGAGACACATGGATGGACAGCTCCATCCTGTAGGAATTACTCATTGGAGGATCTAACAAGCACCCAGGACAGAGAGAGATCCTCTGACCTTTAGGCAAAGACAGGGGGCACCAGGACCATGGGATGCCAAGGGAAAGTTTGCTTTGCAAAATGATTTTGTGATTAGCCAGAGAGCATCTGCCTCTGAAACCATCCAAGGAGTGACTTTCCCCTCCACTAAATTAAATCAAAAAATGTTAAAAAGAAACCTGCCACAGGATAATATTAACATCATTAAAGGATGCAATGCCCAGCCTAGCCTAGCCTGAAGTTCTGTGGGTGAATGATGCTGGTGAAATAGCAGAAGAACTTGTTCCCAGCAAAATGAATCTCCTGGACTCAGAAAGCTGATGAAGAAGCTATTTAGATCCACAATAATGGCAGAGTTGTCTGAGGAATGAAGTAGGAATGTGAGATTTCCAAGCAGTGGAAGAACATGTCCTTTGCATGGGTGATAAAACTCAGAATTCAGGATCTCTCTGACTTTAGTGGGATCTTGACCAGGCAGGGATGCTTTGTGAACTGGAATAAAGGGACGAAACCAGAGATGAGGATAGAAGTTGTACTTTTCAGGGATGAAACAAGTGATGGGACTTTCCACCAGATTTTGCTGATTTGCTGGAGGGGAAGCATTTTGCTGTTGGATTGTTTCTTGGATTTCTGAGAAGTGCTCTTAAAATCATGGGGGACACATTTTGACCTCACCAGGCTGGGTCAGCAACCTGATGATAGCCTGGGACAGGACAGGGCTGAACCTGATGCTTCCCCTGCAGCAGGGACCACTGATTCTGGCAAAATCCCAGAATTATTTAGGTTAGAAAAGTCCTCCAAGATCATCAAGTCCATCCTGTGACCAATTCCCACCCTGTCCCCAGCCCAGAGCACTGAGTGCCACATCCAGACCTTCCTTGGACACCTCCAGGGATGGGGACTCCAAACCTCCCTGGGCAGCCTGCATTCTTGCAGGGAAGAAATTTTTTCCAATATCCAATCTCAACCTCCACTGGCACAGCTTGAGGCTGGTTTTCCTTGTCTTGGAGCAGAGCCTGACCCCCCCTGGCTGTCCCCTCCTGTCAGGAGTTGTGCAGAGCCACAAGGTCCCCCCTGAGCCTCCTTTTCTCCAGGCTGAGCCCCTTTCCCAGCTCCCTCAGCCCCTCCTGGTGCTCCAACCCCTTCCCCAGCTCCATTCCATTCCCTGAACATGCTCCAGCCCCTCAAAGTCCCCCTTGGAGTGAAGGACAGAACTGGACAATCCATCTGCCCTGTGGGCAGTGCAGCCTCTGAAGCTTTGATTGCCTGTAAGGATTGCAGGGTTTGTGTCAGATGAGAGTGAGACCAGATCTCAAAATGCCCAAATCCTTCACATCCTCGTCTCTGTCATGGAGACAGAGCAGCCCTGGGCATGGCATTGGTTTGCTCCATCCAGCTGTCTCCTGGGGGGCTGCCAGGCTCCAGCTCTTGCACGGATAAGAAGTCACCCATGAGTCCCTGGGGAGAGGCCAGGAAGGATTAGAAGCTCGGGAAAGGCAGAGATTCCTGGTCAGGGAACAAACCCTGGAGATGCTGAGTTTCCTCCAGTAGCTGTAACCTAAGGAAGTCTGGACACAGAGGAAATAAAAGCCTGATATTAACCTTTCCTGGGAATTGCTGAAGATCAGAATCCATGCTTCCATGTCCAGAGCCAGGCTAAGGCAGAAAGTTGCTGGACTCGGGGCTGTAAGTCCACATAATCCACATCAGGATCCAAATTAGTGAACTGTGGTGGAGGGAACAACTTCTCACACGGGGAGACAGTGACAGGACAAAGGAGACTGGTTTTAAACCAGAAGAAGAGATATTTAGATGGGATATTAGGAAGGAATTCTTCCCTCTGAGGGTGGTGAGGCCCTGGCATGGGTGAAGTTGTGGCTGCTCCATCCCTAGAATTGTCCAAGGCCAGGGTGGACAGGGCTTGGAGCAACCTGGGATAGTGGAAGAAATTCTTCCTGATGTCCAAACTGAACCCCCCCCAGTGCAGCTTGAGGCCACCCCATGAACAGAAAAGCCAGGAATAAAAAGGCTCAGACATTTCACCAGCTGCCCTCATACCAGACCAGCCTAATTTGTGGATAACTGGCCATGTTCCTCTAATAACTCAAGGAGATTGAATAGCAGAGCTCCCAAGTATTTGTACCTAAAAAAAATAATCCATTCCCTTAAAAAGAAAAATCTATTCTATCCCAATTCCCTGGCAGTTCTGCAGACAAATATATGGATTGGCTGGGAATTAACACTACCAGGAGCTGTAATTGACTTATAGTTCTATTTAGTCATAAACATTAACATTAATGGATGTTCAGGGGGTACAAGTGCTAAAGAACAGACACTGGAGATGGCCTATGTATTATTTTTTTGTGTGCTACATTTCTTCCATGACCCCATGAACCACAATTGATGTCTCATTCCTTGCTTTCTTAAGCATCTTTTGTTAGGCTCTGATGCAATGGTAACTTGAACAATAATTAGAGTATAAGGGGCTCACAAAGCAAATGCCTCCTTCAGTGCCTTCCCTGCCCAGGCAAAATTCAGTAAATGGCCCAATTATAGTTCAGAGGGGCTGTGGGGGGAGCTCTGATGTGGTGATTAGGACAAAGTGTGTTCAGCTGGAGTCACAGGTCACCTACAGTTCAGCAGCAGATGAAGGGGGGGCAGGCCCTGCTCTGATTCCAGGGGAAGGAATCGTTGTGTGACCCCCAGGAGCAGTGGGGTGGTTCCAGCTCAGGTGAGTCCTGGGCTGCAGGTATCCACCCCCTCCTACAGCCTGCAGCAGGGGGGATTTTGGCCATAAATCACACAGTGGTTGGGGTTTAAAGGGCCCTTAAAGCTCACCTGCTTCCAACTTTCCATTATCCCAGGTGGCTCCAAGTTCCATCCAGCTTGGCCTTGGACACTCCCAGGGACCCAGGGGCAGCCACAGCTTCTCTGGACACACTGTGCCAGGGCCTCCCCACCATCCCAGGGAACAATTCCTTCCCAATATCCCATCTAACCCTGCTTTCTTTCAGGTTAAAGCCATTCCCCCTTGTCCTATCTCTAAAAATGCCCTTTAAAGCCTCTGGGATGCTCAAGGCTCTCACCCCACAGAGCTGGAGCAAAAGCAGAAGTTCTTGTGCAAACCTGGATGGGGTTTTCCAGCCATTTCACAAATGTCTATTTTATAACCATCAGCATCTACAGAACCATCTTTCCATCAGCAGGGAGAAAAAAAAACATCCCTTGGTGATGGGAGTCACTGAGATTGATTTAAGCATCTGTGTTCAAATGACATCAAGCCCTTTGTGTGTGTTTATTGCTCCCCATGAACTGAAATCCAGCTGAAGGGGTTTAACTCACAGAGGGACACTTGGCTCCAAGGCAGGACAGTGTCTACATTTAATTCCCTATTAGATATCCCAGGATATCCCCTGGTATCCCACTGCTCCCACCTCAAACTCTGCCCCAGTGACTGCAATGGGAGCTTGATGCTTGCACTGGAAAAGCTCTGGCATCCTTTCACAACGTTTTGCCTCCTTTTGCTGGTCCAAACATGGCCCCAAAACTGCCAGGAAGGACTCGTGAAATAGAATTTTCTGAAGGAAAGAATCCTGCAAATGATAACTGTGTTTTTATAGGCAGTTGTCATGGATTCAAGGAGAAGAGCACAAACCAGGATAGTGTGGTCAGTCCCTGAAGCTGCTCAAAACACCTGAACACAGGTGGTTAAATTATGGTCTGGCTGCAGTCTCTAGGGATGGGGAGCATCCAGAGGAGCTCTGAGGTCCTTCTGCCTATCAGCCAGATGTTCCCTGGGGCCAGGAGTCAAAACTACCCACATTTCAGTCCAAAGTTATTACAAACTGCACAAAAGTGCTTTATTATTTAAGCATCTTACCTTAAAAATAGAATCACAGAATCACTGAGGTTGGAAAAGCCCTCTGAGATCATCGAGTCCAACCATTCCCCCAGCACTGCCAGGGCCACCACAAAACCATGTCCCCAGGTGCCACATCCACCTGTTTTCTGACATTTCCAGGGTTGGTGACTCCATCACTGCCCTGGGCAGATGTGCCAGGGCTGGAAAACCCTTTCACTGAAGACATTTTTCCTAATATTCAATGTAAACCTCCTGTGGTGCAATTTGAGGCTGTTTCCTCTTTTCCTGTCAGAGAGAGTGATCCACTCCTTATCATTTCATGGATTTCCCATCACTGAACTATTGCTACCACCATGAGGTGTTTCTTTTCCCCAAGGGACAGAT